GCCCTCATGTAGCTTTGCGCGAAATTCAAAACAAACAGGAATTCGTTTTTTAAAAACATTACGAGTTTACGATAATAACTTTTGTTAAATCACTTAACAATTTTAACCTAAATTAAGCTCTCTCAAGTGTTTTGTTAAAGGCATAAAATAATAATTTAAAAATATATTTTACAGGAAAGATAAATAAACCAGTTATATATATATATACTCTAATTGGATTTTATTTCTGATTTAGGCTTCGCAAGTCCTTCGTTGAAGACCGCTGGCCGGAGGTGTTTGGGGAAAACAGCACCGTCGGCAAAAGAAGAGTAAATTAAAAAATTAATTAGCATGACTTAGTGTTAGGTCACCAGGCTTATACTGAGGCTGACAAATACTGTTAAAAACGCTGTATTTATTAATTACACGTGTTCGTGTTCTTTTCTTGTGAAATTATTTTCTTATATAAAATAGGAAAGGCAGAAGGTGATTGAGTTTCTGCTTAATTAATTTTCTTTATAAATCATTATAGAATGAAATACAATATTTTTTAATGTGGTCTCTACACAAAGATAGCATTAGTTTATGTTTAAATTACGTAAAAAGTACTGAAATGACAAATCAGTTATGAAATGGGCAACTTTAGCGCCGTCTAGCATGAAGAGTATGTATACAAGCGATACAATAATAAATATAAATTGTCAAAATTCCTAATACAGTGTTGAGTACCTTATGTTAAAATGATTTTGAATATGCAAGTGAGAAAGTCACGTGACAGCCGCAGCCGATATAAAGTCATGGTGAAACTAAACATATCGGAACCATCAGAACTACATTTTACATTGTTTGGTAGTGAACATTTATCGCTGTTAGGAAGGGTTATGAAATAGCCTTTTCCGACGTAAAATGGCCATATGTTCAAATCATAAATATGTGTTCGGATGAGTATTTAGAATTTTCAAGATGTGTATATCCTTTTTTGGTTAATGATAGTGTAAAACAAAGGAATATGGATCAACGTGGGGCACCAGGACCATACAGAAATAGTCCTTCAACAATTCGTACTAAAGCCACAGTAATCAAAGTGCGGCGTCTTGTAACAAATGAGTATCCACGGACGAAAAAAGGTCAGTGGCAAAAGTCACTTGAACCAGTTAACAGTAGACAATATAATCAAGAAGGATCTCCATCTGGAAAAGTGACACAAGTACACAAGCTGCTTTCACTGCATATCCAGGAAACGAAAACCAAATGTACAAATCTGTATAAATGGTACCTAGCCTGAGGTAGATGTCAATACAAGGTGACATTCGACGAAGCGTATGTATACTTTGATAACTGTAATATGTTTCGTGCCATTTTCTATGGGTCAGTGAGTGAAAAAAAATTCAGAAAGTGGCATATTTTTGACGGTTTTCATGATGATCGCCAGATTCTGAAATGGGATCAAGTTAAGGATCAGAAAAGTGGTTACAAAAGTCAGCGTGAATCTGCTTTCTATCAGACCAATGTTCTGAGCCCTTTGTACCACATAGAAATCCCGACTTTATCAGACCAATGTTTTGGGCCTTTTGTACCACATAGAAATACCAAGAATGAAACGGTTTTTCGTGTTTATTCCATACAAATACGCTTCGGTCAAGTCGCTCGATGCAGCATCTTTCAATTTCTGTGCGATAGAACTGTTGCATCAGGCACTTGGATACGGCCGTCCTCTTATACAATTTGGTTTTGTCTGTTTTTGAATTTCGCGCAAAGCTACACGAGGGCTATCTGTGCTAGCCGTCCCTAATTTAGCAGTGTAAGACTAGAGGGAAGGCAGCTAGTCATCACCACCCACCGCCAACTCTTGGGCTACTCTTTTACCAACGAATAGTGGGATTGACCGTCACATTATAACGCCCCCACGGCTGAAAGCGCGAGCATGTTCGGTGTGACGAGGATTCGAATCCGCGACCCTCAGATTGCGAGTCGAGCGCCCTAACCACCTGGCCATGCCGGGCACCTATCACAAATATAAGGACGACTAGCGCGAATATTCGAAAATAAGTTG